CAAATCCCCATCTCCTATTGATATTTTATTATGGGGAAGAAACTGATCGGGCAATAGACAATTATCTACAGTGATAAATCAGGAAAAAAATATTTTAGTGTAGTATTTAAAATTACAATGACATCTACCAAGAAAAAATTAATAAGCTGTAAAAGTGGATTACTCAGAGAGGGAATGGTGAATGGGACAAAGAGAAAAACCTTTACTTTTTGTTTAAAATGCTTCTGTTTATTATGTTTTTTGCCATGTGTAGATATTATTTTAAAACAGTTCAACATGGGGAGGGAGGCAGAGGAAAACAAGTTAAAATAAAAGAATGCAGATGGTGTCAGGGTAGCATGGTATCAATAACTCAGTCCAAGCTGACTGAGCAAGAAGGACTCAGGATCTAGGCAATCGATCCAGCTAACACGCCTGGTGACCCAGCAGAAACACTCAATATTCAAACATTACTCCAGGCAGGGTTCCTGATGGTCCCTGACCTGAGCCTAGAGAAAGAGAAAGCAGACACATCTTGCTAGAAACGCATTAAGAACAACAGGGGAAGAAAAGTCCCTAGTACTGCTGTATTTGCAGATAAAAGCTATGTTCATTTCCTGTATGATGTACAGAAGTTCTATAATCTACAATTTTCACTAAACTGTCAAGATCATATTCTGAGAAAAATTATGAGAAATTAAATACATCTATGTCAGAGTACGTACTCAACAAATTAGTACTGATAGTATGCAAACTTTTCAGTGCATGATACAGAATGTTCTCAGGTTCCCTCAAGTAGTTCCTTTCAAATGAAATAAAAATAATAAAGCAGTTTTGACTTTTAAAAATAACTTTTCTTAAAACTAATTTAGGTAAATTTCAAGTGAAAAAGAAATTAAATGCTTCATTCACAGATGCATTTTAACATAAATACACTCTGATTCTTATTCTCAATAAATCCCAACTATATAACTCTGTCAATCAATTCGGGAAATGTTAAATAATGTAAAAATATTCTGTCAGTTATAAAAGTAAAAAAAAATTGGCATTACAGTATCTTTTATTAAAAATGCTGAAACACAGCATATCTCAAGGAAGATACAAGGTACAGAGGAGGTACCAGTTTTCTTTCATTTTTTCAACCAACTGGTGAATCATAAAATTACAGTCATTCCTGAGTATCTGTGGAGGATTGTTCCAGGACGCCCTGTGAATAACAAAATCCATGGATGCTCAAGTCCCTTATATAAAATGACACAGTATTTGCATATAACAAATGCACATCCTCCTTTATACTTTAAATCACCTCTAGATTACTTATAATACTTAATACAAAGTAAATGCATGTAAATAGTTGTTATATTGTATTGTTTTTTTTTATTTGTATTAGTTTTTATTGCTGCATTGTTACTTTTTTTTCAAATATTTTTGATCTGCAGTTGGTTGAATCCATGGATGCAGAACCCACAGATACAAAGGGGCAATTATACTTGGCATTTCATGTATAAAACTATCGAGTCATATAATCTGAGACTTACTAGATATATAGTCAATGTCTCTTTGTGCAGAAGCAAAATATGTGAATTCTGTTTTTCCTACTTTTAGAATCATAAGAGTCAACCCTAAGTTGTTTCATATAATCTACTCCCTAGTACCTTTCCTTAGGCAACAGAGTCTCTGCCCTCTACCACAAACCTGTTTCCAATAGAGGAGTGATATGATTAGAAAAGAGGAACACATGATCGACCAAGGAAAAATTAAGCAGACCAGCATTGTGCATATAAATTCATTTGAAATAAAAAAAGAAAAATCACACAAGAATCCAGAAATGCTCTAAATCATGGGTGGTTCACTTAAAAAAAATTTCTAAAGGGAATATATTTATGAATCTCTAGTCATCAAAAAAAAATAAAAATATAAATATAAATAATATTTAAAAAATGAGAGTATGTAAATTCAGTTCAAAATTAATTACCACTCCTATGAATACCAGAGTGTCAAATGATTTTTCACTGATTCACTCAGGTCCAAGCAAAGATTAAATCTTGCTTTTGGCTAAGTTCCACAAGTTTGGGTCAATAAAATGAATTTTTAAAGTACGGATGAATCGTGTCGGAACAGGCCCAACGAGAGAGCTCAAGACTTGGTACACCATAGTGTTTGGAAGACCAGAGGAATAAGAGCAAAAGAAAGAAAAATAAATACACAGAATAAAAGAGGTGCATCTAATTAATAAAGACAAAAATAAAAGGATGTTAGAATAAAATGTCTTGGATTATTGTAGACTCAACTTGTCCCACATACATATCAACTAACCCTACCCCTGTATCCCACATCACATTATCTCCAAAAGAAGTGAACAAACTTATTACACTTTCCCAACTGTGAACAAAAGAATAAAATAACAAGAGAAGGGAAAGCAGGAATGGTGTCAGGGAGAACGGTGGCTAGCAAAGGACACTGTGCTGGCATGAGGGGAAGAGGAAGTGCTGGCAGAGGGGCTGTCATCACCACCAAACAGCTCCAACTGAGAGCTCTGCTAAGTCACCCTGACATTGTCACTCAATCGCCAAGTTAAAAACACAACTCCATCTAACAGTTTTCCTGGGAAGCCTAAGGTAAAAGTCCATTACAATGTACTCCTTGGAATATTTGAATGTATTTGTGATGTATTTTTACCTGTTTGTAGAGAATAAGACCAACTTTTTCTTATTATTATATGCATGACTCACATAGGTAAACATAGCATGTTTCTTATACACTGTTATTACCTAAAATAAAACAACTATTAATTTAAATCTTTTCAACTGCAGATCTTTTCAATTTCAGGCTTTTTACCATGTCTGTTAACCGTAGCCACACCTCCTCTACTTATCACTATAACATACATTAATGAAAAAGTGCTTAGAAGCTATTTCATACCAACTTTAAAAAGTCCTGATGAGAATTTCTTTCAAAGACATTTTTTATAGTTAACTCACGTCATGTAAGATATTTACTTTGGCACAGCTAAAATAGAATTTTTAATTATATATAAAGTTCCTAACATATCACCTGCTCCCTCAATCTCCTGCCACGAAATTTCACACTCACTCTTTCCTATTATAATAGATAGTGACCTTTTCAAAGTCAATCCCTGCTATAATCCCCACAAAACATTAGTATATTATTATGTTTTTCATTTTACTTTCAACCTCTCCCTCTTTCCCATCAATTTTCAAAATTCAGTTTTCTCCTTCATAATTCCACATCTGTTCTTGTCACAAAATTTCCTCACCTTATAATTATACTTCAACCAAATCCCACCAAATCTGTCCCCAACAAGGTCAACTATGACTTCTTTGTTAGTATAAATCTAATAGATATTTTCAGTCCTCATTTGCTTGGCATTGCTGCAGCAAAGATGTCATTCATGGTGCCCAGAATCTCCTACCCACAAGCCCGTCATGGCCTATCTAAGTCCTCCTGCTCCTCCTTCAGGTTCTCCTCAGTCTTGACCTTCTAAGGAGAGTGAGATTCCAATGCTTCCACTGTATATGCAGCTTCCTTCTCGCTAAAAAGTCCACCTGTGCCTACTTTAATAGAAGTCCTTCTCGACAGATTATGTTCTTTATAAAACCAGGGATTATAATGATTACATTGTGTATGTTCACCACTATACTACCAATTATAAAGCAAAGCACCTGGCTATAGTAAACACTCAGAAAATACATAATTGCCTGAATTATTTTCACCCAATAAACAAGCTATTACCACTATAACAGATTTATCACTATAAAATGAACTAAGTAGATGCTTTAGTTCAAATGGATATGTTCTTTCAGGACCCAGAATGCCTTGTTAGAAATTTCTAAATACATTCAACATACTAAAGTTAATTCTCTATTCATTTAATCTAATAATGTATAAATGACATCATTAAGTTTATCACTGGTACTATCCAACTATTCATATCCTAATCAAATAAAAAAGGTGTTACTTCAATCTGCATGATCTTAAAGAAAAAAATACCATAAATATTTAAATAGCATCTCTGGGAGAAAAATATCTAGCCTTTATCCTATACTCAGCAAAGATCTATGATATGAGAGCATACCGAAGAAAAAAATTAATTCAAACTTGTAGTAATGTTTTGCTCTACCATAATATGTTAATTTTTCAGATACTAGCAACCAACATCTACAACATCAGTGAGTCATGCTCACCGAATATCAGAATTTTCATAGGAGAGACAAAGAGGCTGCATTCTGAGACAGGTATAGATTTAATTTAAAACTGAGTTTGCTTGGCAAGTGCACTATTTTATTTAGCTTTTATATTTATTTGTAATGGCTTTAGAGGAATGATGGAAATTACACATAGGGATTAGAGCCCCCCCAAGGTACTGTTACAAGTAATACAAACCCTTCATTTTAAGCAAACCGAAAATCTATTAATAAAGTTAGAACTAAGAGCAAAAGATGCAGCAGCCATTTCTGCATTGTACATTTTATAACAATTGTTTAAAAGATGTAACACATTAAATAATCACTTAAATATTACAAAGATGATTAGTATATAAACTGAAATCATACTTAAATTTTCCAAAAGACTTCTTATCATGATGAGCCAAACACATGAACCATCTGGATTTTAAAAACAAGTTGCAATAATACCCTCAATATTTATAAGCTGGGCAAAGTTAAGGAGGAAGAATTCCCAAGAGATGCAATGGAGACATGAACGGACGAATTTATTCTTGTCTACTACTCTATAAAAATGAAATCAACCAGATTGGAAAGAACAAGAAAAAAGAATTTCAATGAGGTGAGAAGAAGAGGCAGGATTAAAAAGTATCTGCTCTTTCACCTTAAGAACTACTACTTATAATTTTATTGCACCGCTCATTTATGAACATGAATGTTAACCTAGAAAATAACACTTTATATTAACTTTTGATGTTTATTAACATAGAATATTACACAACTCATACATAAAAAACTGACAATACAATCAGCTTTAAAATGTTTATATTACCTTACCTTATACAACTGTAATGTTTAAAAGTACTGGCAGCTTTCTGACATTCCAGGCACAACTGAATAGCTCCTGGATAGTCTTCCTCCTTAGGATAACAACAACAGAAGTCATTAGACTAGGAACTTTTTCTTTCTTAAAGCCTCTGGTAAAAACACATCTTTGTTCATACTTTAACCAAAAGTTGCAGGATCAGAAAATTTTAATTTCTCTAAAACAAAGACTAGAACACCAATGATAGACAAATAACAAAATATAAAGAGGCAACTAGTTCTAGGCCTAAAATGAATGCACAGAAAAAGTACTTAAAATATTCTTCTGTTCACTTAAATACATAGTAACCGCCCTATGAGACCATGACTTATGGACAAGGCCTATATAAAATTATAAGCTGCTTCACAGGGAAGGTTTGAACTGTTAACATATCTTCTTTCAGTAATGTTTACATAAAATACTCCAAAACAGTATGCATTCTATTTGTAATCAACATTCAACAGTTCTCCCACCAAAAAATTAGTAAATAGTTATAAAGAAATAAATGTGGAAAAGTAAAATATTAATTCATAACCTCAGAATATTTTTTATCACCTAACAGTAATTTAATGCCAAATGAATTTTTCACATGGATTTCTCAAAACTTAGTTTAGTAGTAATAGTTTAGAAGTAATACAACAATTATACAGAAAACCACAACAAATTTTCCCTCTGCTCATACCTAAATTCAACATATGCAATTCAAACCACCCAGGATGCTGAGATAATGACAAAGTACCTACCTAAGGAGCTCAAGTATTATGAGGAAACACAAATATTATATTATGCTTTGGTGAACTCTATGACAGAAGTAGACAGAAAATGCTAAGAAAGCATCAAAGAGAAAACAGATGGCTCACTCAGAAAACAAATTAATATATGAAACCAAAAATAACTAAAGTATCACATCTTTCTTAAATTACTACTGTCTGTTAGATGCGAAAGATAATTTTATTGCTATTTGGCTGCAATACAATCAAAAGACTAATGTTAACAATTCCAGTGTTAATACAAAGTAAATATTTCCCAAAATAAATTTGTTTCTCTAAATGAAGTATACATTATGTCAACAGAAAAAAGATCTAGAGCAAGTACCTTCACATGACTAAAAATGCTCTTTATGCCACATACCAATTTGACAAAAAGGCACATCTGAGTTTTGTCCACTATAATGTTTCTATTAAGATACAATATTATTAGATCAACAATTTCCAAGCCTTATTAACTTACCTCTAGCATTTCACTTAACCGTACATCTGTTCTTTGCTGAAAAAACAAAAATCAAAGGTAAAATCTGTTTCAACCACAAAATTAAGTTTTAATTTTTAAAAAGTGACCTGTATATACCAATGTTTTTATAGTCCTCAGAGATTTCAGAAGTCCAATCAGCAACTGACGTTTCCTCTGATTTGCAAGAAGGCCTAAACTAGCTTGAGTAAAACCTTCCTTTGCAATATTCAAGTGTCTGCAAAAATGAACAATAAATAGTTAAAATTCCCTAGTACCCACACAGAAAAATTAGGCAACTAATGAGGTAGTTACCTGGATTACTATTAAAACTGGGGATAGTAACTACCACTATTTGACAAATTTATTCAATGGCTCAATCTAGACCAGCATTACTCAAAACACGGCAAGCAGACTAGTGCCAACCCACAAACTACTAATGGTCCATGACAAGAAAAGTACAGAAATCGCGATTAAGCATTTAAGAACAGTGCAAACGCAGACAGAATAATTTTATTCTTTGTGACTCTAATAATTTAAAAAATTAAGACCTTATTGTATGTCTGGGTTTTTTAATTTCATTTTCCTAGTAACTTCTTTTTACTGCATTTTACAAAAATAATAGCCTGTGATAGACTGGACATTCAAAAAGAAAAGAAAAAACTGCTCCTTTACCACAAACAGTTTGAAAGGCACTCACCCAAACAATACAAAAATAGTAATTTTTTTTAACCCATAGTAGATTTAAAGATATTTCCCACAAACCCTCTTAGTGCAGAGTTATGTTCACTTAATGAATGATACTCTAGAAACCACAGCCATAATAAAAAATCAATTATCAATGATTTCATAGTCATTCTTAAAATATTTCCCAGCTTAAAGAACAAACTATCATCAAAAGCAATACCTTCTCCCATTTGTGCAGATAACAGCAGCTAATTGAAGACCTGTCTGTAATGAGGTAACTCTTTCAAGTTCCTATGGAAAGATAAGGTTATTATTGAGGCATTCTATTTTTCCTTCTCATTCGTATGATACTCTAACAAAAACTCTTAGTGGCTTTCAAAGAAAAGCCTGCTTGGGAAATGAAGTAGCAACAAAAATACCTGAACTTAAAAAATTGTTAGTATATTTTTCACAAAATTATTTAAAATGACTACTTTCAATTGATTTTTACAATGACAGATGACAAAATATTTAGTCAGTATTGCTCGTATGGAAATCTAGAGCCAACTTCTTTAAGACAGGAATAAACAAATACAAATAATATATCTGTTTAAATGTTTCTACCTAAAAAGAACATCGCGAAGTAATTAAGGATATGACAAATATGATTTCTGTTTACTAAGATGCTTTGACAATGAATGCCTTCATTTGAATACTGGTAGACATTTCAAAGGATTCTGAAGGCTCTGATTTTCTGATGAAAACACAGATTCAGCTAGACAGTTCCAAATGTATCATATTTTATAGCGTGACACACAGATTGTTATACTGCCATTTAATGGTCATTATTGCTGATCTATCTGCTTGTTACAAAGTTCAAGGAAGCAATTTCACTTGCTCTTCTAAAGCTTGAAAAAACCAAAAGATTACTTTAGAATCATATATAAAAACTTTTCACTTCTTCAGTTTGGTAAATTCCCAAATGAAAGAGGAAAACATATTTACACATACACCCACACACCAAATAGGGTCAATATGTTGCTAGGGAACTATAAACAGAATTGCAGTACTTCAACAGTTTCAAGTTAAATCACTCAATCATTTTTTAAATTTTACTATAAAAAATAACAAATATCATCCTACCTTTACATAAGCAGGCTGTTTTTCAAGGATTAAATCTGCTACTTTTTTAGAGACCTATAAGAACATGCAATCAAACAAAGGAAGTAAAAGAAAAAGCCTCATGCTTCCTATTACATTTTTATACTTTAAATTTTTGCAAGACTATTCCATAGGTCTTTCAAATAACTTCTAGATATTGGCATGCTATGGCCATATGCACTTCCCCAGGCTATGAAATTAGTAAAAGAGGTAGTATAATAAAGAACATAGCACAGCACCTGGTCCTTAATAGAAACTGAAAAAATGATCATTACTATTAATAATATAAGTATCATTATCTGATTTAACTAACATGCACAAAAGTGTAATCATCTTTAAGGGTATAGGATTTGATTTAAAAAGATGAATTTGTTAAGGCAAAATTTTAACCAAATGAATTTATGGAGATAATATCTGGGAAAGAGAGAACTTGCTTGTACCCCATAGATTCTTTATACCACATAAGAGGACAAGTAGTTTGGTCTGCTACTTCTGAAAAGTTGAAAACACATGAATTTTTGGAATGCTATGACGATATCTAAGAGGTTTTTTTGGTCAATTCCATGAATAATGCTAACGTATCCAAGTTAGAATTACAATGATTTTGAACGTGAGATCCTTAATCCACAATTTCGGGGCCCCTGTCAATTACACGACAGAGATTCTACATCTAGCATGAAGCATGACACACAGAAGGTATTTAGTGAGTGCTCAAGTAACAAAATTGGTTTCCTTTCCCCTTATCCCTGAGAATAAAATATGGCACACACATTAAACTACTGCATTAATCCTTTCATGTGTTCTTAATCTGCTTCAAACATCTTTCAAATTATGCGAATTAATTTCTAGATAGACTCATTGTTTTTGTCTGAAAAGAGGAATTCCATTAAGGTTATGGAAACCAAACTTTAAATAGTTTTGAGACTTCGATTAATGAAGAAATACCAAGGCTAATCCTAAATATCATTTTAAGAATTCCAAAGATTCCATAGGTCTAGTAATAGATTAATTAAGATAATACAACCTCTATGAGAAAAAGTCAAATAGGAGCCACGAGTAAGAAAATGAAATGAGTAAGTTCTCACTTTGTATCATAGTAATTTTGACATATATGAATTTGTATAAATGCACATAGACAGAAACCCACCTAATTTTATTAAATTGGGTTAAAAAAATAGACAATGTAGTCATTGTTAGTCTATGATGTGTCAGGCAGTGTACTAAGTGCTTTTCCTACATTATCTCAATTAAGTCTCATGACAATCCATCAAGATGAGTGCCATATTTTCTCATTTTCCAGATGAGCAATCTTAAAAGTAATAGTAATTCACCCACAGTCCAACAGTTAGTAAGTTGCAAGGCCAGGATTCAAGCCTAGGTTTATCAAATTCCAAAGGCCACTATGCTACACAGCCCTTGTGGTGGGGCTCATTCCCAAAAGAATACTATCACATAAAGTACACATATGGAAGAGTACTTACTTAAACACACTGAAGCCAAGAGAAGGTAAAAGATGCCACCAATCACTGAAATCTAATTCTCCAAAGGGACAATACATTTCTACTACACAAACCTCTAGAACTCAAGTCTCTTCCTTCCCCTGCCCAAGCCTGCCCTACACTACCACTGCTACCCCAGCCCCCACTGAGACTTTTGGGTGTAATAGAAAAGAGAAGGAATGAAAGGAATATCTTCCTTTTTTTGCCAGATACATTATTAAAAATCATATTTGAAACTCAAATAGATAAATTTATTGTTTTTTTTAGTTGAAAAAAGCTAGTAAGATCACATGCTATATTCATCTTCTACAGTTAAGTCTGAATTTCATAAAGTGAGTTTGGACTAACATGAGAAAACTATAGAATCACAGAATTTTATAGCATTAGAGAAAATCACAGACCTGATCTATCACTTTGCAAATAGAACAAAAGAGACTTAGTAAGGTTAAATGACTTGCCCAATGTCATAATTAAATAGTGACTACAACTCAGACTTTCTGAATCGTAGCCTCATATTCTCTTTGGAAATATTTCAACTTTTAATAGAAGTGGGGACGACCTTTATTCTGATATAAGAATACTCCATTACAAAACTATGGTAGGAAAGTCATGCATGCATGACAAGGAGCCTAAAGGTACTTACTAATCTAAAAAAAGTTCAAAGTTCTTGGATCACATTTAAGATTCCAGAGAGAAAATTCCAAGTTCTAGAAGCAAATCTATCAAATTAACATAAGGAAAACCATGGGCATTAAATTTTAATGTAAATGTATCATTTGAGTCAAAGTCATGTTAAATAACAGGATTTGTTTATATGTTAATATATTAGTTAAAACCATAAATCTGCAAACATTACACTCTCTGTTGTTTCATTTACAGTTTTGTCTGAAAGAAATGTAGGTTTCTTTTTTTTTTTTTTTTTTTTTACTTACTGCAGCTTGCTGTTGTTTCAATTTGTCTCTGTACTCCTCTAATTCTTGCAAATTGAGAACAGGTGGAAGCTTCTACAGAAAAAATTCATAAATGAAGAATAAAAAATAAATTGTTTTTTTCGGTTTCATTTACCTGGACACCTCTGACTAGTGAACCACAATCTGTGCATGCACAACACTGTCACATCCCACTACCCTCCATGTTCCCTGTCCTCCCCTCTTTCCTCCATAGACTCCAGCCACAAAAGCCTACATATTTTTATCATACAACCTTCTGGTTCCATCCCTCACCCAGCCTTGCTACTTCCACTGCTGCTGCTCCACCCTCCAAGAATCCCCACTACCACTGGGGCTCCTGGGCCCCAGGCCGAGAGACACTGTGTTTCCATGACCTGTAATAGGAGAATGTGAGAAAAGTCCCTAACTTTAATCCCCACTCTACCAGTCACAGATATATCCCTACTTGTTTATGACAGAACTCAAAAACAGATTTCCCTTCCAAAATATTATGAATGGTAAGTACTACAGTGTGACAGTGACAGTTGCCGGACTACATTCTGGAATACATCACTGTTCAGAAGGTAGTACGGGAAACTAATAAAAAATGCATACCAGTGTGTACATAGGGAAACAGACTCAGTCAACTGAGTCCCAATCAACTGACAGATGAAACTTCAAAATGAGCTGGGGACTGACTGACTTGGTACATACTACACATAAAGTTTGAATGCATACTGCATTTGGTTTTGTCTAAAAACAAATTTTACTATTCTGACTTTTTTTGAAGTTCCTATAAATTTTAAATGCCAGTCTTATAAACAATATGGCATAGGGATTTTTATCATGACCAAACAATGATATAAATACACATTCATGATTAAAAGTCTCAGAGCTTTTCTAAACATATTCTGCTAATATAAAATATGATAGAAACAGTATACTAACACATTGGATGCTAACAGTTGAAAATCAAAAATACGGAAATGTTTCCTTCACCAATATTCTACAGTTGCACTCGATATTACATTTTAAAAAAATATTTTCAACTTTAAACAACTTTCACAGTTCATTTAATCACAATGTGGTAATCACAGACCTGCTCTGGTACCAAAAAAATATAAAAGCACCCAAAAATTCAAATCTCACAAGTTCAGTCACTGAACAAAATGGGCTTTAAATATATTTTGATGAAATTTTTTTTTTTTTACCTCCAGCTCATATTTAACAATATCAAATGAGTCGGCAGAAAAATATACTTCTTCAATACTATTAATAAGCTCTTGTTCAGCTTGAGGGTCACATGGCTGTTCTCGAAGTTCCCTGAATTCCTCCTTTAAGAAAAAAAAAGTCACAATTATAGTACTTGCAGCTTTTAAAATTCCATCTGCATGAAAATAAATGATCATCTATCTTAACAGTCACATATCTTCTGGGAACCGTTCTAACCAAGAATACAAACTAACAGAAACCAGAAAAATTCAAGGAACATTAGGATATAGCCAAACACTAAAATCTAACTCACCTACTGGAGAAAAAAACTAGCCAGTTTGAAATTCAGATTTTATTCTCAATTCCTTGTGTATCGACAAGGTTGAAAAAATTTAAACGTAAATTTAACAAAAGGGAAAAAAGTGACTACCTAACTACACACATATCAGATAGATACATCTTGCCATCTAACAACATTCTAAAATCTGCCTCACCACAGTTAACAAAGGAAGAACACCTCAATGACTTTTGAGTCACAAGCATTGGAACCCTGAGCAGCAGACACCCAACTCTGTTAAAATATCTAAGTGCTCAGCCAAAAAACACTGGCTCCAGAAAAGGTTCAAACAAGTTTAGTTCTGTAATCCTATGAGGCTTCTTTCATCAGGTACTGATGCTGCCATTAATGATCTGATCATGAACCTAAAATTCTGTATTTTATAAAACCCTCTTTCTAATGATACAGAATGGGGCTTCTGTGGATTTATACAATGAAAAAGAGCTTGACAGACAAATTCCTAACCCTAATGTCAGCATCCTTATCCTACGCAATTTCACTGCATAATTGGATAAACCTTTAGTTAACCAGAAAATTTTAATAATTCAGGTATCCTCTCCTCTACCACTCTAGTTAATTAAGACATTATTATAGACATATAACAAGTGAGCCATTTGATTTTTTTATTCAACTTAACCTGAAATACATTTATGTACACGAAAAGGAATTATAATTTAAAATCATTCTACAGTCATTAAAATAATACTTAACAAAAATACTAATTAAATACACAAAAATTATCTGGTCAATTGAAGTATATTATTTTCCAAATAGAGATATTCTAGATTATTTTATTACAGGGCATATTTTTCACTTATAAAAAGAGCCTAGTTTGGATAACTTTTAGAGTTTAACTTATATTTTATATTTTTAAAATTATTAACTATAATATTATCCCCTATTAGTAAGTTCAAGCTAAAAAAAATTAGAACTAAATCTGAAACTCAAGAGAATAGTTAACTGCTTTAAATTTAAAAATTCAATACATTTAAAAGAGAAGACAAAGGCATACAAAAATCAAAACTACAAAATCAAAAATGCATGGAAAAGACAATGTCTCTTCAGTATCAAGCTAATGTATAAAATACACTAATGAAAAAAAGCCAAAGATATGGCCATCGCCAATTCAGCATGCAATTAGTTACTATGAGTACGGTAAGAAATCCAGGGTCCTAACAATGAGAGCTGCACATCTGTGGAGGTTTATCTATAACACATTAATCCATTTAGCACCCTGGACAGTGGTGTTGATGCACAGACTTGGATTAAACCCACACCACTTGTGGAAGGGAAGGTTCCCAACTTGCCTATCAACAGGCAACCTCCATGCATCCCATGGGAATATGAAATGACAGTGAGACATGAAATGGAAGAAGTGGTCAGAAATTCCTGGCAATCTCCTTCCCTAAAAGTTCACAGGCATTTGAAATACCAGCTTCAAATGCCACAAACTAGGGGAGGGAATAAAGCCCAAGTGACAATGTGGCAATATTGCTCCCTAAGAATTCTGTAGCACCATGAGCAAATAAATGCAGTTGATACCATTCAAGAAAAAAAACCTGAAGATTACAAAAATTGCTAAGATTAAAAAATATCAGATACAGAGCCATGCCAAAAATTCAAATAGACTGCAATAACTGAGTCCTTTCATCTTAAACGTATGAATGCCAATGACATATAATACCATGCTGAGATTCTCCATATAGTATCAGACACTTAGGTTTTAGCTGCACTCTATTAACCTGGCAACTTAGTTTCTTCATTCCTAGCTTTTGTCTCCTGTGAAAGATATACATATACACACACATTCTTTCAAATGGCAGTGAAACAAATATCCAAAGTTATTAAGAATGCCAAAGGGAAAACATGATTTCATTTATAAATATCTCTCCAGTGTACATTTCAAAAATGCAATGAATCTGTAAAAAGAGCACAATCTGTATAGGTATGTAAAAGGTCAAATGCTGTTCTTTCCTAGAAAACTAAGCAATTAATATCACAGAGAGCAAACAAACCCATATAATTTCCAAGAACTGACATGGAACACATGACACTCTAAGCATAAGAAACCTGGACTTAGGAGAGGAATAAAACCTAGAAAGGCAGAAAAAGAAATGCAGCATACAAAATAGAATTCAATCCAAAAAAATGTCCCCTTGTAACACTATATACCTATACAATACCCTCTCCTTTCAGACAATTTGGTAGTTCCTATGTGAAAATATACATCTGAACTCATTCAGACAAATTCCATTCAGACTGGAATCCAGACCGCCGTATTCTTTTTAGTCCCACTGCACTGACAGTCTGTAAGAATCTGCTTCTACCTATTCATGCTCTAAATGTTTCATCGCTGTTAGAGCTGCCTGCTCAATTATACTACACACTTCCTGAGAACTGAGATTTCTCCTTATTCTCCATCATCATGCTCCGTAGTGCCAAGGCACACTGTAGATAACAATCACTGATCAAACTAAAATTAATTTACATAGTCAATACTATAAAAAAAAGAATATAGGACAAAATGAAAGGAAAAGACAATATGTTCTTGTTTTGATAGCCAAAATTTTCCACAAACTCTTAATAAAAGGTTTCTTTCTTCTAACTAGAAATAACATTAAATGTTAAATGATTTAGGAATATTTCATGCATGTAAATTAGAAAAATAAACAGACACAACCAGACTGCATATTCTTAACACGAATTACTCTATAATTTAATATAAACTGATCTCCTAGGACTAGAGATACACAAAAATACATAATTCTTCACCTGAAACAGAATCAATTTGGCAAGCCAATACATAGGTATGGGGCAAAATTTTACATAAACAAAATGAACAAAAAATTTCCTACAAAAAAATTAAAAGGTAAAACCAGGAGGAAAAAATACCAAATGAAATTCCTCATATTATATTAAAACACAATTTAAGAAAAAAAAAGTTACAATAATATTATATATTTAAGAGCTAAATTTAGGGTAAAATATTTCAGTCTTAACAAATTTTTTATATTAGTAACATGGTTGAAAGAATTTATTTTTACAGTAAATTTTGTGTCACATGGTAAGTAACTAACAAGTACATATTAACATTAATAGTGGTATAAATGCTCTGTAAAACTTGAAAATGCAAAAATAATTTGTCAACAACTACAGACTATCAAATATGCCACAACCTGCTTCCCAATGGTAATCAACGCCACCTAAAATAAGTACATCCATGTCATCCCAGAATTAGAGCTGGAGAAAACCTACAGTTAATGAATTTAACTGCAGAGGGGGTAAAACAAAAGCACAAAAGGCAAAAATGAACAAACCAAATCTCTCTCCCATGCTATCATTAGAAACTAACCTGCCTATTTTCAAAACTCTAAAACCTTACCTTTCCCAGTCAATATAATTCCATTTAACAAACAATTTTTTTAAATTCCCACTATGTAATAATTCCCCATACTAGGTCATATGGGAACAAAAATGAGTAAAATACAGCTCTTCCTTCAAATAGTTTCCAAACTAATAGGAATGAGCAGATGAATAAGAAAACAACAATGCAAGGTAAAACTTAAAGGACGTACAAACAAAATGAAAGGCATCAAAGGATGGTGAGTTCACGTCTGATGAAGAGACAACACGTGGAAACTATGAGAATAGGCAGAATTTCAAATATAAGAAATTAGGGGAATAGGGTTACAAATAGAAAGCAAAGCGTAAGTGAAAACGTTACATCGGGAAAGCATACAACAGGTTCAAGCAATAAAGGACGGCTCACAGCAGGGTAGAAAAATGTTTCAGGGGAAAGCCTGCACATACACCAAGAGGCAATAAAATGTAACAATTGAGATTTTTAAAAATCCAATATGTTTTTATATATGTTAGAACCATATTTTCCTTTACTAAAAGTAAAGTATCTTAACACAAAGCACTGTCCCAGATGTTATATCAAACATAAATAGTCAATATTTTCTTAACATAATAAACCAAGCAGGATTTTAGGAAAGTGGCAGACAACAAAGAAGTTATTCAATATTTTAGAGGCTGTTTTTTCCAGCAGTCACACCACACCATATGGTTGCATATAATACTACCTAGCCTATTTTTCTATTTTGATCATCTCTGGGATAAAGCTACGTGAACACACACATAAAAATGTACATCATAAATGTAACTTTATGAAAAATGAAGAAAAACAATCATAATAGAAATTTAAGTCAACATCTTTAATTTAGCCAAGCCACTTTTCCTCTCAACATAACAAAAGGTTTTATGAGAACTGGGAATTCAAGTCTATAAAACAATTTGAGCCCTCAAATATGAGGTGTTATAAAACATTTCCAGTGTATTTATGGTTTCTAAGGAACTAGACTATATCTTTACAAAGCAATCTCCCACTTAAGAGTTCATCTCTCAAGGGAATGTATTCAAGTTTCAGAAGAAAAAAAAAAAGACTACTGATTTTGTATTTAACCACTACTTTCAAATTATCTAAAATACCACACTAATTAAAAATACCAACCCAAGTTCAGGACCCTCAATTCTATTCACTTTTATGAGTGTAAAAAGTTAGTTATGACAGCTTAACAGTTTTCCTTATCATTATTAAACTCAAGATTCTCTTCAATTTTGAAAGTAATTTAACCTAATTTTTAAACCCAAGAACAGCTTGAAAACTCATAATCTTCAGTAGCAGGTTTTTATTCAAACAAAAAGATGAATGCAAAAATCTTCATTTGATAGGTCAGGTTTCAAAACTCTACAGAAAATTTACAGAATAAAAACGAAATGCAA